TAAATTTCAACACCTTCAAAATATTATTCCTAATTCTTGTTAAAAATAAAAATAGCCTACCTATGATTATTCTGGGAAACATAAATATAAAACTTTTCCACTTTTTCAGCTATTCTTTCATACAAAACAAAATAAAACTAGTCTTTCAGAACTAACAATATGGCAACATGAGCAAGTTTAGTGATTTCCTAGGGAAGATACAATTCTAAAGCTTATCCTTATGGCTGAGCACAGTGACTCATGCCTGTAATCCCAGCACTCTGGGAGGCTGCGGTAGGCGGATCACGAGGTCAGGAGTCTGAGACCAGCCTGACCAACATGGTGAAACCTCGTCTCTACTAAAAATACAAAAATTAGCCAGGGGTGGTGGCACACGCCTGTAATCCCAACTACTCAGGAGGCTGAGGCAGAAGAATCACTTGAACCCAGGAGGCGGAGGTTGCTGTGAACCTAGATCATGCCACTGCACTCCAGCCTGGGTTAACAGAGCGAGACTCTGTCTCACAAAAACAAAACAAAACAAAACAAAAAAACAGTGATTTCATAAAACAGTAAATAAACAAGTGGTATGCAGATATGGCAAAAAACCATGAAGGCTAAAACACATAAAATAGAAAGTCTGGTGGTTCATATCTCTAGTCCTCCATTTGCTAGCTGTGTGACATAGGGAAAGTTACCCGCCTCTCTGAGCCTGTGTTCTTAATTGGAAAACGAATATAATATTAATAGTAGCCATTACATAAAGGTATTGTGAGGATTCATGATATAATGCACTTTAAGTACATACAGGAAGAGCTCAGCAAAGGCTAGTTATTACGATCACCACCCCAGTACAGAATTAAGATGCAAGTTTAGTCTAAATACCCTTACTTTACTGTGCTAGAGAATACTACTTTAGAAAGAAAATAGCTGTCAAAATTCAGAATCAATTTTAAAACTATTTTTAAAAATTTGTTGAAGACTAAAAAATACAGGTATGCCTCTTCAAGTTCCTTTTGACATGAAGTTCCTCTCATTTTTATCGGAATTCTTCTAATACAATAGACAAAAGACTGAGCTACAAACTGCCAAATATTGAGTATTTTAAATAACAACAGAAAGCTTTTTCTGTAAAAAGTAAAGTATATTCTATTTATTTAATAGACCTCTAATCCTCATTCCTCCTATATTGTAGCAGAAAGCTAGGCTTCCATTTCTGTAAAAGCTGTATTATTAAGGTAAGTAGTACACATTAGTTCCATGACAACTTTCAAGAAGTTTTCACAGTTTGAACTACTTTATATACTACCCACGAGTAAAAAATATTCTCTTTAGATATTATTGTTCAGTAGAAAAAAATTATTCAACTAAAGTCAGAAGACCTAGGTTCTGGTTCCACTCACCATTAACCTCTAGCTCATCGGTTCACCCTGGAACTCAGTCTCACAGGAGGTTGAACTGAACATCGTTAAGATCCTAATTCTAAAGTTCTATGTAACATTATAACTATTCAAATAAAATGGTGGCTAAAAAATTTTCAAATGGGCACATCCCTCTCTAATATTAACAGTTTCAATGAAAATTACATAGGAATCCACAGTACTAAGTACAAGATACAATTCACAGAATTGCTACTCTTTAGAAAGTACAAGCAAGGTCAGTGCTGATTATATGTCTTAATTATCGCCTTCTGAATAATCTGTGTGCCTGGCTCATAGCAAGCATTTAATAAGTGTCTATCAAATAAAGTCAAGCCTTGCATTTTGCTTCTTGCACATTTTGTATAAATTCCTATTTAAACCCATGGGTATTAATAGAGTACCTGAGAGACTAGCAGTCTTATATTAACATATTTATCTCTAGCCTCTTTCTCTTTTGAAAAAACAAAACAAAAACCTTACTACCCCTAAGGTTAGCTGTTTTTCCTAGCTTGTGGCCTCATCTGGATCCCCTCCTCCCCTTTTGAGGCTCATTGACACTTTTCTATTGAGTCTGTCAGATTTCCCTGCCCTCTAAACATGTCGTAAGATAGAATTAAGATAATGATGTAGACAAAAGATTTATTACTGTCTCCTCTTCTACTTTACATCATTTTTAGAAAGGTTAATCTTCTCCATTCATTTTCTCTCAAACATTTTTTTTGGCCAGCTATGGTGGCTCATGCCTGTAGTCCCAGCACTTTGGTAGGCCAAGGTGGGGAGGATCGCTTGAGGGCAGGAGTTCAAGACAGTTCAAGACTGGCCTGGGCAACACAGTGAGACTAGATCTCTACCAAAAAAAAAAAAAAAATTCTTTTAAATTAGCATGGCATTATAGTGCATGCCTGTAGTCCCAGGTACTGGTGAGGGTAAGTGGGAGATCGCTTGAGTCCAGCAGGTTGAAGCTGCAGTGAGCAGTCATCATGCCACAGCACTCTAGCCTGGGCTACAGAGCGAGAACTTGTCTCAAAAAAGAAAAAATTAATTGTGCCAAAAACATAACATAAAATGTATCCTTTTACCTCTAACAAATTTCTGAATCAGGAGGCCAGCTGCAGTGGCTCACACCTGTAATCCCAGCACTTTGGGAGGCTGAGGCAGGCGGATCACGAGGTCAGGAGATCGAGACCATCCTGGCTAACACGGTGAAACCCCATCTCTACTAAAAATACAAAAAGAAAAAAGAAAAAAAAATAGCCTGGTGGCGGGCACCTGTAGTCCCAGCTACTTGGGAAGCTGAGGTAGGAGAATGGCGTGAACCCAGGAGGCGGAGCTTGCAGTGAGCCAAGATTGCGCCACTGCACTCCAGCCTGGGCAACAGAACGAAACTCCGTGTCAAAAAAAAAAGAAAATTTCTGAAATCAGGAAAACAAGTCTGTTCACCCTCCATGGAAAATTAGAAAGCACAGAAAAGGTGAGCAAATAAAAACTGCCTGTACTTTCACACCTATGAGGCAATGTCTAGTAAGAGTTGTATGCTCTTTTATTTCCCTTCATGTTCAAGTTGCATTAGAGAACTATACTTACAATACAGGGTAAGTTTTTGAGCATTAACTTTTGATTCTAAATATTGTTGTAATCTCCACCTAACAAGCCTTTCTTGGTTAATTCAAAGGACAAAAATAAATAAATACGTAAGTGTAACTAGAATTGTAAGAGAAAAATAATAAAATACTGCTAAACCCTTAGGCAACTATTCTTCTTAAGCACACTGTTATCTTAAGTAAATGATGCAAAGAAAATATCAATTTTAAAGTTTCAATTAATAACTTAAAAGGATCTAATATTCCTGTTCTCAAAGTAAATATAAATAGGAAACTTGCAGAAATCAAGTTTTTTTGTCTTTTTATTTAAAAACAAAGCGAAATTAATTAATTTAAAAAGAAGCCACTTACCTGGTTTTCCTCTCCAGCCTGTAACAACTTCTGGTTTCTTGAAATTGCCAGCATTTCTATAAGTTCCCTAAAAGAGAAACCAACAACAACAAAAACTCTTTCACAGCATGCTGAACACCCGGGGCTACTCCCTACAGTCCGCTATGACTGTGAACTTCAGCTCACCAAGACTCAGTTGTGCTGGTTACCAGACTTATTTATAAAATAAGTTCCACTTAATACTATCATTATATAAATAGCTATCACCTAAATGCCAATGAAATATGATTGTAAATAGAGTTCTTTCTATAAAAACCCTAATGCTTAGAAAGACTCCATAGAGGCTTGCAAAGGACAGCTATAAAGGATGGACCAGGGAAAAGTCATAAAAACTAAGGGTCTACCCTAAGACTGCTTGATGAGAGGCTAAGTTCTCATTTTGATTTGATCTAGAAATCAAACTACAAATTGCAGACAATGCATTATGAATAATTTATACAAGAAAAACTTGTACACGAGGGATCTACAGGCCAAATCCAGGACATCTGCAGTTTTTGTAAATAACATTTTCCTAAGACAGTCTGCCCATTAATACACAATAGTCTATGGCAGTTTTCCCAATACAGAGGCAGAGTTGGGTTGTTATAGCAGAGACTATATGGCCCACGAACCCAAAAGTATTTATTATCTGGTCTTTGCAGAAAAAGTTTTCTGACTCCTGTCTTACATAACATGATTAGTGAATGAACATATGTTTATATATTTTAAGGTAAAATAAAACAAGGGATGCATGGACCATTTTTTAATGATTCTCCACTTTATTTGAATTTTTAAAATTAAAATCAACATCTATCAGCGATAGATGTTTTTATAGGGATATATTTATGTATATTAAATAAATATCTAAGAGGGATCCTTACACATAATAAAATGATATCCTTTTAGAATGCTCATTTAATAAATATGACAATTTCCCTATATGAAAATTAGCATCTGATGAGGAAAATAAGATTGGGAAAAATGTATAGCAGCTAATGTTTACATATTAGTTTCGAACTTGTTGAGAGATGGGACTTTTGAGAAATTAGGCAGGAGGGGCAGTTTCACAACTAACTAGCTACCTGACACTGCTCTGATCAGACCGAGTGTTTGTACTTTCTCACTGGCTACCATGCTATTTTTACCTTCAAATTTCCACCCTCCTTCTAGCTAGCCTTATATTATTTTTCTGGATCATGTCAATTGGACCCAACCCTTCCCGCTACTACTTCCCCATACCATTATTTATGAAGTAATCAATGAATGAAAAAAAATAGATATAAGAATGCAAAGTCTTCATTTATTCACTAATTCATCAAATACTTATTGAGTGCCTATTATGTGCCAGGCACTTTCTAGATACTCGGGGTATCAAAGTGAACAGTGGCACTTAAATTCTAATACAAGAGACAAGAACTACTAAGACAAGAAAAAAAACTAAAGCGATAAGGGTTGGCAAGGAAATAAAGCTACGTTTTATTAGAGACTATTGGGGGAGTGGATTGGCTACTTGAACAGGGTGGTCACAGAAGGTCTTCCTAAGGGCACAGCTTTGACATAAGACACAGATTAAATGAGAGAAGTCAGTCAAGAGATCTGGGAGGAAAGAGTGCAGCAGAAGATACAGATAGTTCAGTGTCCCAAAGATGGATCTGAGGAGGTACACTGGGGAGAGGAAAGCAAAGTGAGGATATAGCAGCCAGGTGGCTAGGGGTAAGATTACGTAGGACCTTACAGTTACAGTAAAGATTAGTGTTTCATTCCATATTCAATGAAAAGCCACTGGATCATTTTAAACAGGGAAAAGGCATGACCTGATTTATACTTTTAAACTGCTGAGCGATTTGGTAAATAGACTGTAAAAGGGCCAGAACAGGTGGTTTTTGTAGTGTTCCAGGCAAAAAATGACTGGTTTTGACTAGGTCATAGCCTCCAGGACTTAGTAATGGTGATGGGAGAAACATGGACAGATTTCAGATATCTTTTGGAGGTAGAGCTATCAGGACTTGCTGATGGATCAACAGTGTATGAAAACAGCATGTTATGTAAACTTTTTCGTGTACGCCACAAGTGAGACACAAACTGTTGAGAACCTCTAGTCTAAGTAAAAGCTGGTTTCAGGTGGGGCAGGGGTGGTGCTGACTGGAGTGGGGCTATGGTAGGAGATGTGGGATAAGCCTTCCTCTGTTCTTGCAAATCTGGGAGTATGAGTCCACAGAAGGCTTTACAAGGCTTGCCATAGGCACAGGAGTACAGGGGAGGTAGAAGTCTCTGACACAGGAGTAGAGGGGAGGTAGAAGTCTCTAAGACTTAGTCATGTTCTGTAACAGTCCAAGACGAGGTAGAAACCTCTGTCCTTCCCATTTGTGAAAAAGAGGCCAAAGGAAGGCCCATACTCACTCTCTGGTTAAAGATGTGGAAGTAAGAGCCCTGTCCTGCTACAAGGCAGGTGCATTCCTGGCATACTGCATTAGAATCCAGCCACAATTCCCCATAGAAATAAAATTTCCATAGGGGTTAGAGCCTACATTATTAGTGGTAATACACTTTTCAGGTAAACAGAATTAACAGGCTGGTGTGGAAACCTCAAGACTCCTATCAACATGATTCTGTGGAACAATGAGTTTTGAGTTACAAACGGGTTAAGAAAAACGTTTAGACTACAACCTGTGTTTCAATTTTTTAAGACTGTCTCCTTGCATTACATTTTACAAAGTAATAAATATCCTGAAAGGCTACATAATCAGGTTATTAGAAAAAAAAAAAGATCCTAAGTTATAAATCCACTATTTTTTAAAGCCAAGAGGCTCAACCTAAAAATATGTAAGGTACATTCGTGAATTTTCTTCTTATTTCCATAAATGCAAGCCAGACACAAATTACATTCAGAGACTGACAAATTACACAGATCACAGAATCAGTACACATAACTACGTCTGAGTGAGCACATGAGACTTTTCTGGAAGCCAGTCACACCACCAGAGCAGCTTCATTCTGTGAAGAAATTCCAATGATCCGCTCGCCTCGGCCTCCCAAAGTGTTGGGATTACAGGCGTGAGCCACCACACCCGGCCATAATACACTTTATTTTAAACAGTGGATCAAACACATAAGTCATTTAATTTCTGGAGTCTATTTGTTTTAGGGTTTTCTTCCATCATTAAATATTGTGCTGACCTGGTAACTTGGTAGCAATACTATGGCAAGGACTAAATTTACACCAAAGATAAAGTGCTGATTATATCAGGTATATTTTAAAATACAACAGATAAGATTTATTCTAAAGCTGTCAAAGAATGTCGGCTACAGAAAAAGTGACATTTGGGCTGGAATCTGAAGGATATGTGAATCATTCACCAAATCGGGGCAGACTGGGAATGGCACTGAAGATGTGGAAGTCTGACTAAAGAATTTGAACTTTACCTCACTGGACAACGCAAATCTACCAATGAGGTAGGTTTCATATCATTTTTCTGCAGAAAAGTAATATAACATGCCTTTTAAAACTGATCTTGGCCAATATAAAAGGATACAGTGCAGAAGCATGAGGCAATTAAAACTGGGAAGCTGCATTTAAGAGTAGTTATGAACAGCGGGGTAGGAACGAGAGGACAAATGTGAGCAACACTTTAGGAGGTAGAACCAAGATAATTTACCATCCACGTCAATGGGAGGGAGTCAAGGAAGGCTTCAACTTGAAAGATTTATCATGAAAGGTGACAGAATATAAAGAATGACATTTAATTTCATCTCCTATCTCTGATACACAACTTGCAACTCCACCAAGCCAGGCTTTTTGCACTTGCTGTTTCATCTACCTGTGCTGCCTAGTGAGTCTGGCAAGCTCATGCTTCCCAAACAGCCGTTTCTTCAGAAGGCCTGCCCTGATTACAACCAGAAAAGGGGCCTAGCCCCTGTGCTCCAGTACCCCGCAGCGCAGCGCTCTAATAAAAACAGGCTTCAAGGCAGTTTACACATCTGTCTCTCTCTCGACAGCCGGCATTCAGCCTACCCTGCACTACTGTCTCCCTAGTGCTTGGCACCCAAGGGGCGTTCCATAAATGTTAAGTGGCTGGCTGCGGACGAAGGGGCTCAGACCGCGCGAGTTCTTATCATTACTAAAATTCCCTCTAACGGGAAAAACCGCCGTCCAGAGTGCTGGAAGACTGCGGACCCCACGTCCGTGACCCTGGTGCACCCGAAACTCCCGAGCTGGCCCTCCCCGCCGAACCCCGAGAACGAGCACAAACGCTGGGCCGGCCGGCTTCGGGGTCAGTCCCCCGGCCTAGCTCCAGCCCGGCTCTCAGGCTCGCAGCATTACCTAGACAGGACCTCCAAATCCTCAAGCGCAGACAGCAGCCGCTCTCGTGTGCTGTTACCACTTGCCACTCCCAAGCCGCCTCCCAGCCTCTCTTTCTCCTTCTCACCACTCGAAGACGCAGCCATTTTCCTCACAGCCCCGCCACCGGCGCACGCGCTGAGCGCGCTGACGCAGGGGCGTGGCGAGGAGGCGGGCTCGGAAGGCGGAAGAGTCATCCAGGAGAGGAAGAAGAGGCCCGGCGAGAGCGCCCCCTTTGCGCCTGGAGGGGCGCACTGCGGGCACCGGCGCCATCTGCTGGGCCAGCGAGGGCTTTTGGGTCCAAACCCTGGGAGCGAGGGCTGAACTGAGAACAGGGAGTGCAATGCAGTCTGATTCTCCTGGGCCTAATGTTTTGTTTCCTTCCTTCCTTCCTTCCTCCCTTCCTCCCTTCCTTCCTCCCTCCCTCCCTCCCTCCCTTCCTCTTTTTTTGAGACGAGTCTCACTCTGTTGCCCAGACTGGAGTGCATTGTCGCAATCTCGGCTGACTACAACCTCCGCCTCTTGGGTTCAAGATATTCTCCTGCCTCAGTCTACCGAATAGCTAGGATTACAGGCGTGTGCACCTCGCCCGGCTAATTTTTGTATTTTTAGTACAGACAGGGTTTTGCTATGTTGGCCAGGCTGGTCTCGAACTCCTGACTTCAATAGATCTGCCCACCTCAGCCTCCCAAAGTGCTGAGATTATAGACGTGAGCCACCGTGCCCGGCCCTGGGCATGATGTTTTTCAAGCAGCGACGAGAAGCTTCTATGAAGTGGTTTTTAAGACTTTGAGGGAATCACATAATGGTCTACATTATTATAAAAGACAGTCGGGGACTGCCTGACTCCCATGAGGCAGTCGTACCTGTGGTCCTTTCATTTCATGGTCTCATCCTCTGCTCTGTCTTTTTGGAGGTGCTAAACTTGACTCCTGGGCACCCAGAGTTGACAAGTCTTTCAGAAATTCGTGTTAAATAAATTCACTCATAGCGGCCCTGCGCGGTGGCTCAAGCCTGTAATCCCAGCACTTTGGGAGGCCGAGATGGGCGGATCACGAGGTCAGGAGATCGAGACTATCCTGGCTAACACGGTGAAACCCCGTCTCTACTAAAAAATACAAAAAACTAGCCGGGCAAGGTGGCAGGCGCCTGTAGTCCCAGCTACTCGGGAGGCTGAGGCAGGAGAATGGTGTAAATCCGGGAGGCGGAGCTTGCAGTGAGCTGAGATCCGGCCACTGCACTCCAGCCTGGGCGACAGAGCAAGACTCCGTCTCAAAGATAAATAAATAAATTAATTAATTAATTCACTCATAGCAACGGCTGTGTAATCTAGAATGCTGATTTACTCACTTACGATGAAAAGTAATAGTGCTAAACATATCTTTTAGCCATAGACAAAGCTATAGGAGAAGCCATATTATCACAGGATGTTGCTTCTTAAACTTGGATCAGAACAAACGAGGATAGATTAAAAATGAATGACACCATCATGAGGCTTTGTATCTCCACAGTGTAGGGATATTTGTGTTCAACAGATTGGATTATTTGTGTTCATAGGTCGGGGTACCTTCTCCTCCAGACAGTGCAAGAAATCCTTGTCACCTTTTGTTTTCTGACCATTCCCTGCATCTGCTGTTGGCTAACCCTTTTTTGTTAATGCAGTCAATTCTCAGGCAATGGGTTAAAGTAGATTGAAGCTTTGTTCACTACACTTGCATTCTAAACATGCCTCTCAGTACTCTAGTCAATCATTTCTTATGTTAAGTTTCTAGGGTGCCAGACTTCTGTGGTATGTGTTGGTTTCGTTTACTCAACTCTCACGGGTCATATTGAGCCATGACTCTGGTAGGAGGAGAGAGAACATTATATTAGTGTAAACACAAAAATTCTAGAAGGATTCTAATCAGTTAAAAATGACCAATTATAGTCCTACTTTGCAGACACTGAGGATCAGTGTATGGAGCATATATGTGTATTGTGAACTCCTGACCTCCTCAGATTTATTGCAAATTCATATGCATATTAAACAGTATAGACTGATAAGTAACAGCATCTTTCACAGATATACTGTCTTACAAATTGTATGAATCCAAGCATGATAAACAAATATGAATTATTTTATATAGTATTACTGAATTCATGGTAATTTGGAGTGTTAGGTACATATTTTCTCAATCTGTAGATTCAAAAAGGACACTACTTTCTCATGAAATTTTATTTCTTTAACATGCTGGGCACTGCTCTAGGCACTTAAAAAATAATACCTTGTTTAATTTTCCTAACACTCCTATGAGGTAAGTACTGTACTTACTATTGATACAAAGCCTCACAAGTGTGTCATTAATTTTTAATCTATCCTTGTTTGTTCTGATCCAAGTTTAACAAGCAACATCCTGTGATAATATGGCTTCTTGTATAGTTTTGTCTACGGAAAAAAGATATGTTTAGCACTATTACTTTTCATTGTAAGTGAGTTACAGATAATGTTACAGATAATGAAACTGAGGGGCAGAGAGTTAAGACACATGCTGGGGTCATATAGTAAATGGTAAAGCTGGAATCTGAACCCAGAATCTGGCTCCAGGGGCTGTGCTCTTTACCACTGGTTATCCCCACTCTCTGTAAAGAAAGAAGGCTCTTCATGTACTAAAAGTACTGGGACACTCTGACCTAAAATATGAGAGGACTTCAAAAAGTTCATGGAAAAATGGAATTAAAAGATAATAATTTAAAATATAAACTTTATTTCTCAACATGAGCTCCATCTAGTTCAAGACACTTTTGTAAATGATGATACCAGCCATTTAGTTCATACCTAAAGAACTGAGGGTCCTCGGAATTTAACCGTGCCAATGCTGTCTTTTTTACTTTTTACTTTTTTTTTTTGCCACAGGGTCTCACTCTGTCACTCAGGCTGGAGGGCAGTGGTGCAACCACAGCTCACTGCAACCTTGACCTCCCAGGCTCAAGCAATCTTCCCAATACATTATTAGCTGAATAAAAATGGGTGCCCTTTACAAATTTTAATTATTTATTTATTTTTGAGACAGAGTCTTGCTCTGTTGTCTTGCTCAAGCTGGAGTGCAGTGGCATGATCTTGGTTCACTGCAACCTCCGCCTCCTGGGTTCAAGTGATTCTCCTGTCTCAGCCTCCTGAGTAGCTGGGATTACAGGCATGTGCCACCATGCCCGGCTAATTTTTGTATTTTTAGTAGAGATGGGGTTTTGCCATGATGGCCAGACTGGTCTCAAACTCCTGACCTCAAGTGATCCACCTGCTTTGGCCTCCCAAAGTGCTGGGATTACAGGCATGAAACACTGAGCCTGGCCTAGATTTTTTTAAGATTAGGAAACAAAAAGAAGTCAGATCAAGACTGTAAGGTGGATGTTCAATGATTTCCCACTGAAACAATTCCAAAATTGTCCTTGTTTGATGAGAGGAATGAGCAGTAGTATTGTTATGGTGGAGAAGGACTCTCCAGTGAAGCTTTCTCGGGTGTTTTTCTGCTAAAGCTTTTGCTAACTTTCTCAAAACACTCTTTTAATAAGCCATTGTTATCATTCTTTGGTTCTCCAGAAAGTCACTAAACAAAATGCCTTGAGCATCCCCAAAACTGTTGCCTTGCTGTTTGATCTTGACTGGTCTGCTTTTGCTTTGACTGGACCACTTCCACCTCTTGGTAGCCATTGCTTTTATTTTGCTTTATCTTCAGGATTGTGCTGGTAAAGCCATTTTTGATCTCCTGTTACAGTTCTTCAAAGAAGTGCCTCGGGATCTTGATCTCACTTGTTTAAAATTTCCATTGAATGCCCTGCTTTTGTCCGCAGGTGATTTGGGCCTAACAGTTTTGGCACCCATTGATTGGAAAGTTTGCTCAACTTTAGTTTTTCAGTCAGAATTGTATAGGCTGAACAAATTGAGATGTCTATGGTGTTGTCTGTTAATTGCTGGTCCTCTGCAATTAGGGCACAAACAAGACAAATATTTTCCTTGCAAATTGATGTGGATGGTCTGCTGCTGCAGGCTTTATCTTCAACATCATCTCATCCCTTTTTCAAATGAGTTTTCTATTTGTAAAACTGCTGATTTCTTTAGGGCATTGTCCTCATAAACTTTTCATAAAGCATCAAGATTTCACCATTCTTTCACCCAAGCTTCACCATCAATTTGATATTCTTGCTTCGATTTTAGTAGAATTCATATTGCTCTGATAGGGGCAATTGTCAGACTGATGTCTTATGCTTCTTGGGCCTCAAACTAGATCCTGTTCATACATGTTATAACAAGTTAGTGTGACTTTATTTTGGTGGAAAAATATTTTGAAACACATGTATACTTTTTCTATAATACACACTTTTCATGAGCTTTTTGAAGAACCCCTCATACAAACACTATCAAATAAATGCACAGCTTGAAATTCTGAGCAAAAAGCTGCTGCAAGCAGTTGGTGTGGAGGTGTGGAGGTACAGCAAGAAACTCAGCCAGGCCTGTCCCTGAGGGTCAGCAGAATAGATAGCTGAATACACCATGTATCTTTTTAAAAATTATTATTTTGTTATTTTATTATTATATTTTTGAGACAGAGTCTTGCTCTGTCACCTAGGCTGGAGTGCAGTGGTGCGATCTCAGTTCACTACAACCTCCACCTCCCAGGTTCAAGCGATTCTCCTGCCTCAGCCACCCAAGTAGCTGGGATTACAGGATGCCTGGCTAATTTTTGTATTTTTAGTAGAGATGGGGTTTTGCCATATTCGTCAGGCTGGTCTCAAACTCCTGACCTCAGGTGATCCACCGGCCTCAGCCTCTCACAATGCTGGGGTTACAGGCATGAGCCACTGTGCTTGGCCTATTTTATTTTTTTAAGGCAGAGCCTTGCTATGTGAGCCACTTCACCCGGCCAATTTTTTGTTTTCATCAAACAACATATATACATATTCTAAAATCAAATGGTACTCACAACCTTCTAATGAAAACAAAAAAGTTCTAAGTTACCACCTCCTGAGCCCCACTTCCTAGCATATCCTTCTCACTAATGGTGGGCAAGCTCAGCATTTTTAACCGTTATGTCTATTCTTTGCTCACATATTTTAAAATAATATGCATATATTCTGTATCTCTATTCAACTGCTTTTGAAATTTATTTCCTATTATGATAGATGAG